CAATTGTTTGGGCTTCTTTTCCTTTAAAAAAGTGCAACAAGCAGTGGAAAAAACATGGGAGGGTTTGGGATAGAAGATGCCAGTGTCTTGAACATACAGTGTGACTCAGGAAATTCCATGGAAGCAGGCCAACGGCATAAAAATCTGATTTGGAGTCTCCAAGAACTGGTTTGCAAAATCTGCTGCAAGAGACATGGGATGCTTTCCCAAGTCCTGAACTCTCAGTGACTGGGACATGCCTTCTCCTAGTTGGCTGTGTCTCCAGTGAGTTGGGAGTACATATTTCCAGGCTAGGTGGCAGGCCTACCTTTATTTCATCTCTGAGGCTTCTCATTCTGCTCCCTACCAGGACAATGTCAATTTCTCCTGAGAGCAGTTGGATCGCCCACTTTAGCTACCATGTCAGAAGACTGACTGTGAATTGCCTTTAAATAATTGCTACCTAAAATTATTTTGAAATTGCCTTTAAGAATGGAAACCTCCCAAGCCTCCTCCCCTGCTTTCTATGCTCTGTTTTATAGTTGGTGATGATGTCAGCCTGCTTTTTTGTGCATGTCTTTTTTTAAAAATAGAGGAATGTGTTTTTAAGGGCCTCTGCTTCCTTGCCCACATTTGTCATCTGCTTTATTGTACCTTTATAGCATTGGAAGCAAAGCCTTTTGTGTTCTTATTGGGTCAAACATGTTTGTATTAAAATCCTTTGTACCGTAGCATCATTTAATTTCTTGTTTTATAGGTATTCCTGGGTCTTGGATCATGAACCCCCAGTCTTTGATAGACAAACATGGGTTCTCTGATGTCCACTTGCTTTCTTTGGTGGTGGGGAGAAGGGAATGAAATACAAATGAAGGAAACCATATTGATGGATCATGAATTTTGAACTTTTAATTTCCATATCTTTCACTCTATAAGATGCACCTGACCATAAGACCACCTAGTTTTTAGAGGAGGAAAACAAGAAAAAAATATTCTGAATCAAATGGTTTACTAAACTATTTAATAAACTATAACAGAATACAGTAATACCGTATTTCAACCTTGTAAAGTGAACAGCAGTCAACAGTGGCATTAAGAACCATCATCACTGTCATTAACAAAAGAGAGACTTTAAAGTTCGAGTACTGTTCTAGTTTTCGTTGAACCCATAAAACTCATCATCACTAGAGTCAGAATTTATGAAGCTCTGTTGCTCACAATCACTGACATCACTTTCTTAGTCAGTAGTGGAATTATTGAAGGAATCCACAATCTACACCAGTTATACAAGAGCTGCTGCAGACAATTCAATAACAAATCTAAAAAAGCCAGTAATGTCCACGCTGCCCTACTAGTAAATAATAGAAAAAAACTTCTGACAAAAAATGAGATATTGTACGGTAAATCAAACACACAGCGGACTAAGTAGCCTTTAAAGAATAAACTTCATACACGAAGGTAATGCTGTTCAAATATCCACTGATCCTAAAAAAATGTGTCTGATCAACTAACAGATAACTGATCCATGGAAAGCTTCCTGATAATCACAGGCACATTCCCCATCACTTCCCCATGGGCTTCATTAAAAGATGGGTTGCCATTTGAAAACACACACCGACCTGTGATTAACAGCTCTCACCTGCGCCAGAGGAGGGGGACGAAGCAGGGCGCGTCGAGTGTGTGCCAGCCAGGTGGTGCCACGTGGGGCCGGCAGCGTGCCGGCGGTGGTCTTCTGGGCGGCGCAGCGGCGGCAGGTCTTCCCAGGCAGTGGGGGTGAGCAGTCCGTCTTTCCATGCGGCCGGTGGGTTAAAGTCCACGGCTCCTCCCCCTCTGCACCTCTCCCCCTGAGCGGCACAGCTCTCACCTGTGCCAGACAGGGGTGGGGGGTGGTGGAGCAGAGCGCGCCGAGCGCATGCCAGTCAGGTGGTGCCATGTGGTGCAGGCAGCTGGCAGCGTCCCGGGCGTTGGGCACACACACATTCGCTCTATAAGACGCACAGACATTTCCCCTTACTTTTGATGGTGTGCCTTATAGATAAGTGTGTCTTATAGAGCGAAAAATATGGTACCTCTCTGGGAATCAAAATACGCAAAACCCAATGCATTTCCTCCTTCATTTGCATGCTTCTTTTGAATGCTGTTTATATTTGTGCTAGGCTGGAAGCATCATGGTGGAATAATCAGGAAAGGGATCAGGGACTATTTATGTATTAGATGCCATATGGCTATGCTGTGTGCCAAACCCTTACCCTTCAAATACTTCTCCTGGTGTTCCCTGGACCAACATTTTCCCTATCAGTATTTATGTCTTTTATAGAAATTATGTACATTTTCAAGTTTTTCTGTGCCATTATGCTAGAAATTGGCCACACTCTAAAAACACGTTTTCACATGAGCCACCCTTCACTGGAGAGATCCCTCAGCACTGCACAGAACCTTCTTCAACAAACGTGCCAAAGAAAGCCAACAACGATCAATTCAGTTAAAAGATGAAATTGTGATATATTAAAATGCTTGAGCAAAAATAAATGTTTGAATTTGGTACTGAAGATAAATCAAGGTTGCCACCAATTGTATCCCCTTCAGAAGGGTGTTCCATAGCTAGGGTGCTACAGTGGAGAAGACCCTCTTCTCTGCATGTATGTAGTGCAAACTCCCCTGAATGGTACTTGGGAAAGCAACAGGAAAGTCCCCAACCCTGAAAGGCTCTGGGATACTGTGGGGCCAAGCCTGGCAGGACCAGACATTTAAGGTTCTGCGGTTAAACCTTCTTTTTCCAGAAGGCCTTGGTGGCTCATAAGAGAGTTATGCAGGGGTACCTTTTGTGATCCTGACATCATTAGCCCCTCTGAGGGAAGGGGCTCCATTTCATGTGGATCTGACAGCTGTGTCCTTTGACTCCTTCCACAAAACCAGTGAAAATGCCAAAGAAAATTGTGTACAACAATCTGATTGGCCACTCAGCTTCATCCACTTCCGATGAAGGAAGGACGCAGCTGCTGAGCCAAGCTGGATTCCTCCACACTTCCACGCTATGCAGTCCCCACACTATGCACTGCAATAGAAAGCTGTTCAAGACTTGGCTATATTAAACAAGAAGCCAAGAGCATCAACAGCTATAAAGAAAGTTGCATAAGAAATGCCAGCTAATGAATGCTCAGAACGTTGCTTAATCTCAGGGGACGGAAGTTGTAATTACTGGCTTCCGATGAGGACAGAATACTGAATACTTTTGTACAAGATGAATTGGTTGGCTCAGTGTGTAGACTTGTGTGTTGGACCTTATGGTTTCTCAAATCCTGACACTGATAATGCTGTCTAAGCACATTTCTGCAGGGTTTTAAAAATGATGTTTTGACAGTAACTCAGGCTGTAATTTAATCATCTTTTCCCTATAGAAATGACGCATTAGTCAGGAACTGGAGGGAGAGAGAAATGGGGTGGGTGGAGGGAGAGAGAACAAAGACTAATAAGAAGGAAATCTTGAACCAGCTTACTGCCGGAGAAAGAACCTGCAAAGCTCAAATGAAGAGGCATCTGCCTGAGGCCCCAGATGTTGATTGCAGTATATGGGTAAGATTATCCATGCTGGATCAGTCCAAGGATCCATCTAATCCACTGTGCTGTTCACACAGTGGCCAGCCAACTAGCTGCCTCCAGACTCTCACCAGCAGGATACAAGCACACCACCACCCTCCTGGTCAAGCTCCCTGACAAATGATGTACAAAGGCACACTGCCCCTGATACCAGAGGGCAGCCATCACCATATAGCCATCAGGAATAGTAGCCATTGTTAGCATTCTCCATGAATTTATCCAGTCTCCTTTTAAAGCCCTCCAAACTGGTGGCCTTCGCTACATATTATGGAAGGAAATGCCTTGTTTATGAACTGTGTGGATAAGTATTTCATTTTATCTTTCTTGAATCTCCCACCAAGCACCTTTATAAAATGATGCCAGGTGTTGCAGTACTACAAGGAGAAAAAATGTCTCCCTGTGTTTTCCACACTGTGAATAATTCTGTATAAGTCAATCATGTTTCCTTTATCCATCTTTTTTCTAGGTTAAACAATCCCAGCTGTTACAACTTTTCTTCCTAGGGTAGGCGTGTGGTGACCAGAACACGCCTACCCTAGGAGGAAAGAATTTTGACAGAGATAAGAATTCTGTGCTGCCTATACTGAGAGTTAAATATTAAAGCTTGTTCTATGATGGCATCTGATTTTGAGAGGGGTATGAATTATCAGTTGCCCAAGGCTGCCTACATACTCATAACATATTTTGAAAGAAACAAAGAAGTAGGGCATATATCTCATTACTTAACAGGCTCCTATTCCACCAGCCAGAAGCCGCTGTTCACATGGCCTTCCATCTCATTGTTGTCCTCTCAGCTGCAGGGACAATTGTACAGCAATTTTAAGTCTATATGCCTGATGTAGGAAGCTAAAAATCGGTAGTGAACACAAGAAACTGCCCCATTCTGAGTCAAACTCTTGGTCCATCCAGCGCAGGATTATCCACCTGGAGTAGCAGCAGCTCCCCAGAGCTTTAGGCAAAATCCTTTCCCATCACCTGCCACCCTTTTGTAATGGAGAGTGGTGACTGAACCTGGGACCTTTTTCAAACACAACACAAGCAGAAAAACTAGTGTAGATATCTATTAAGAAATGAGACAAAATTTAATAATATAGCATGCATACTACACTGGTATGTGCTTCAAAATGAGAAGTAAAGTTTTCTTTTTAAAAATCACATTCACTTCATGCAGTTTGGCAGCAGCAGAATCATGCAAGTCTGCAACATCTTAACAAAAATAAAGTTCAAATCCTATTTTACAGAAAAATAACATAAAGCCAGACTGAAGAATCCTGAATTTTATTATAGTACTGCTATAGCTCAGCTATCTGGCCACACTGATAACCCAGAGAATGGAAAGAGGGAAACCCAATACTATTATATTTGAAAGCTAAATATGCCATCCCAGTCAGTCCCATAGAAATGGCTTTCTAGTTTCTATAGGAAGGGGATAAGCAAACGATAACACCTTTCTGTTTTCTAGGATAATTTATGATGCTTTTTCAAGTAAGACTTATTACTAGGCATAGGCCCAAACTAAATGTGACATTAAATGTGTAATAGCTGTTAACATGCACGATTTTTTAAAAAGTGTACATATCCATGGTGGTCCTCACAGTAGGACTGGGACCAAGAAAGCAATGAGGTTTAACCATCTTGCTCATCCCTGTCCAAGCCAGGACTGTAAAGAAACAACTGCCATTTATTAATGAGATCAAAGCAGCTGAATGCAGGTGGGATTTCATTGGGACAACAGTGTGGGGGGAAAGGATGAAGCCTTCTCCCTACCTGATGCTGTCCTAGCTCTGCTCAGTCCGCCCAGGCTCCCATAGCTGACTATGAACATTTAAAAATGTTGGACACTGATGTCACACAATTTCATGTTGAAAACAAGGAACTAAAGATTATATACACGTACACTGCTGTGTTAATGTGCATAATTGTCTGAATTTGGGTGGAAAGATAGCAAGCTCAAAAGATTGTGAGTTAAACCACGTGTTTCTGAGGAAAATGATTGGAAAGTCTTTTGATCTTAATCCATGGCTAACATCTTACCACACCCCACACTTCACCATGAACCTGACCCCGAGCCATGCTTCCCCAAGTACTCTGTAAATCACAATTATTGCGTATATTAAAATTGCAAATAGACCTGGCATTGCAGAACAAATATGTTTAGACCACTTAGTTTTTCTTGAGTTAGAGCATCAGAGGCTGTGAATCAGAGAGGATGGATTCTCGGGTGCATACTGCTTGCTAAATTACTGAAGAGACAGTGTTTTTATTTCAGAATGGGAGCACTGGCTGCTTTTAAATACAGTCTCCAAACAATGGGAATCATGGTGATTAAGCGCTCATTGGTCCTTCAAAGTAGCAACCATCACTTGCCCCGTGGCGGGGACTGGAGCTACTTTCTTTTGTCCTGAGAGAAGTGCTTTTCCTTTTTCACTTGCTTGTTGTCCTATGGAAGTCAAGGATAGGGATTTTATGAGATATAATGCTTTGTTGTTATTGTCCAATAAAATTCTGCATTTAGCAACTCAGAAAAGTGCCTCAGTTAATATGTGTGGGTTTGTATAACTCAATAAGCCTTGGTAATTTCAGCATGGGACACTTGGATTTTAGAAGCCACAATAAGAAACAGTCTATTCTTATGGTTTCTGTGCATCACCATTGTTTCTTCACTTGTCTGAACCCAGCATCATGGTTTCCACCATGCTGGCATGCAGCAATCAGAATCCCCTGGATGGAGCAGCAGCTGCAGGAGCTGTTCCAGCCATCCAGTGTGGGACTGAATTTCAGGCTGATGGGACATGTGACAACACTGGGAGGACAAAGCAAGGAGGGTGGAAACCAAGCTAGAATAGAAATCACTGGATCATCTGTCAGGCACTTCCAGGCTAAAAACCATGAATAGTGGAAACCATGCAGACTTGCTTGTTGTGATGTGTGAACCCAGCCTATATTTATTTATTCTAGAATTAACTATTTTGGCAGTGGTTCTCTAGGTTTTTAGGCACAGCTCCTGCCACTTGATTCTTTTAACTGAAGATGCCAGAGACTGAGCCTGGGGCTACTTGTGTGCCACTGAACTATGGTCACTCTCTGGGGTATCTCTTTCTGCATATGGATGGTACCTCCTGACTAATTTCTGTATCAAACATGGTCAGGCTTCCACGCAATCTACCATTCTGCATAATGGCAGAATTTGATCATACTGAGAATCTCACTTTCCTAAGTATCTCAGCTATCTTTTTAAAAAAAGGTTCACACCCCTTATGAATGCAATCAAAAGAAGCAGGGGTGAAAATAGATTAGACAGTGTGTTGCAGGCAATACCAACAAATTCTAAGAAAGTCGAGTAGGAGAGCTGAGCAGCGAGGGCAGTCAGTGATGTGTGGGGCTTTCTGCTTGATATGCCTGGTGAGCCAAAGTTTATTTGCCCAGACAATTCTTTGTCTTAAGGGAAACTAAAAATAAATGTTAAGTGTGAAAATATATACAAATTAACAATTTGCACAGGCTGCAGAATAGACACCTCATTCTTAGTATTTCCTCTTCTGTTACTTGTTTGAACCTACTGCTAAATTTTCTTATTTGGGTCGATCTCTTCCTCATCTTTCTAAAGAAGAAAATCACTTTGATCTTGCTACTGAGGTTGTTGCCTTCAAGTCCGCAAAGGCAGGCAAGTAGAAGATATACATCAACAGGCCAGTTGCTGTGCTGAGGAAGACCACCTGCAGTATTCTGCACAGGCCCATGTTACTCTCCAAGAATGATGTGCTCAGAGGAACAGTTACTCAACGTTGTAGGAGAAGCTAGCTCTCCACTGTTGCCCCTTCCCATCTTGCTCCTCTGCTGAGTCTTATTAAGAATCCTAGTAATTTGCCAATCCTTTAACATCCTTGTGAAGATTATTTATACTTTTGTTAACAATTGGACCAATTCAGTGCAAGAATCACTGGTACGTACATCTGCCTAAAAGAAAGCAAAGATGGAAGGAAACCATCCATCCATCTTCCAAAGATGGATGGAAATGTATGGGATAGCAACTGTTCTTTTGATGCACATGTGTACACATAAGCAAAGAACCCCAAATAACTTTTCCATACCGCTACAGATGTATAAGAATTAATACTCATGTGCCCCATTCTTTGGCCCTGTACCCATAAGACCCAATTCCTCTACCTACTCTGGCTCACAGTGTGGGCATCGCCTGTTCCTTGTAGTTCTTGGATGATCTCCTGAAGGAGGTCAAACCTGCAGAGGAATGAGAGTAAAACACATTTAAATATAGTGGGTTATGGTATTTTACAATGTTAGAGGTAGAAGGAACTTCAAACAGGTACTTTTTATTTGTTACACAAGTATGTCATCCCAAAGAATAATTATTAATAAACTGAACAAGGAGGTAGGTCTGCAGGGATTCCTGTGCCTTGGCTTCATAATTTTGTTCCTTCCTAATCCTGAAGAGGCTTTCCAGAAAATGTGAGGAGAAGTGGGAGGATCTGAATGTTATCGCTAACATCAAATTAGTGTAAATTCTCATTCACAGAAAAAAGAACTAATCATGTGTTAGGCCGTTTCCTATAAAAACTCTCCAGGCCAGCCTTGACTATGAACAGCATGGCGACTCTGCTGCTCAGTTCCAGATGAAAGATGATTTGTTGCTTCCCTCCCCATCCACCTGGTAAGAGCCTGTCTGGCAAACAGGCGTAAAATCATCTGTTTGGTGCTTTATTTGGTTTAAAAGATAACAGCAAAAGGAGACAGGTTTAACCAACACTGATGAGCATGAACACATAGCTGAGACTTAATTTTAAAAAAGGAAAATAGTTCATGAGATGAAGATTTGGACATTAGGACTGTAATCCTATGCACACTTGCTTAGAGGTCCCATTGAATTTAATGGGATATATTTTGGAGTGAGCATGCATAGGATTGATCTACAGTCAAAGCATATTAACTGGAAGGTCAACTGAACAGTGACATCTGAGGTGGTGTTTTTAAGGTGGTGCATTGTACAGTCACCTGAGATGGTTTCAGGGGAGGGAGCTCAGCTTACTAACAACTCCTAGGGTCTCCTCCAGGAAACATAAACTGAAAGCCCACTGTTTTACCCTTCACAAAACTGTCACTACAAAAGCTGCCACATACGTCTGTGTGCAATAGAAGGGCCCTTCTGTGGTGCTTTCCTGCCTTTGGAAAATATCTGCTGAGACAGGATTCCGCTGTTAACAGAAAGATGGTGATGGTTAGCATTGTTGAAACAAACGGCATATAAAGCTGACAGGTTCTTCTTTAGAAAACTATACCTGTTTTTTTTCCCTAGCCTTGGCTGATATATCAATGAGGGTCTGCAGAGAGCGATTTTGGGCATAATCGTTGCACTTTCCTGTAGACAGAGGCAGATTCACATTAGTTGTAATCTTAAGGGTGAAGCAGAAGAGCTCGAAGTTTGCATATCTTGTTGGTGTAGGCTATTAATAACAAAGAACTTGGTTTCCAGGCGTAAAACTCGGCAAGCTCTTTTGACAATCACAGCTTTAATCAAAAAAAGTAAATTCAGTTTTATGAAGATAATTACTATTCCCATTTGATATTTGCATAAGCAAAGTAAAAAATTGTGATGACAGAACTGGAATTTGAACCTTTATCTTCCAACTTCAAGACCCAAAGTTATAGAGTTAGTAGGGATATAACAAGTAATCTGGGATTCTAACATGTCAGGATTCTAACATGTGGATGCCAACTTATTTCATGATGCCTGGATCCTCTACCTTAAGAGCAAAACACATCAAATCCCAATCATGAGGAAAGAGAAGCTTGAAAAATATTTTATTTATTTATTTATTTATTGATTTATATCCTGCCTTTTCCCTATAAAGGGCTCAAGGCAGCTTACATCATTCTCCTCCTCCATCTTATCCCCACAACAACAACCCTGTGAGGAAGGTTGGGCTGAGAGACTGTGACTGGTCCAAAGTCACCCAGTTGGCTCCATGGCTGAGCGGGGACTAGAACCCAGATTGTCTGAGTCCCAGTCCCACGCTCTTAACCACTACACCACACTGGCTCTCTAAAGCTCAAACCCTAAATGGGATTTAGTGGACAATCCCTGTCTAATAGATTAATGGTATAGTGACTATATATATGATGAAGTCTTTATGATAGTCTGCAGAAATATGGAAGCACTGTTAAGCTCGAGTGACTGTTCTCAACCTGCCCCAGTACATATCAGCTTCGTAGTTCTTTCCATTGTTTGAATGTACAAAGTACGTTTTGTTTAGAATTTCTAGTCACAAAAATAGTTTTTCTTAGCTCATGTTCAATCTTTAACCTAAGAACTTCTATTTGGTAAATTTCAGGTCCAATCCTTTGCAAGTTCAGAAAGAAAAGGGTCCTACAATTCTTAGCATTTCCCAGCAAGAATGTTTGGGAGTTTTAGGACCTTATTTTTGTCCATACATAGGAGTATGTCCTTAGGACTTGTTATGAGGATGAACAAAGGTCATATTGTTTGCCCTGTAATGCTGATACAGACCTTTAAAAGAAATCAGTGTATCTGGACAGGCTCATTTGGATCCTACCTGTATGGTTGTGATGAAGGAATGTCATCAGTTATTGTTAGGCACTTAGTCACCTCTTACATTAAAATCTTTAACTCACCCACTACCAGCCGTTTAGGGAGGGCTCCTTCACTCTGACTGCTTCGACCAGGTGCACCTTGCTGGCTGACAAATGATTCTAACATGTGGATGCCAGATGCAAAATGTTTCTCAACATTTTCTAAGGAGATTTGGGCCTTTGCCAAGAGGCAGGCTGAATCCTGCAGACTGTTCACAAACGCTGCCTCCTGTTTGGCAATGGTATCTCCCTGGCCCTGGCGGAGACACAGAACTGTGAGATGAGTACGGTAGGCAGACAAGAAAGATGTTAGAATCAATGGCTCCCATTTTGGGAGGAGAACCCAGAGTACTCTTCAAGATTGACACAAAGTCTGTGTTGTTCACATGTACCTCTGGGGGCAAAATTCAGAGCTAGGAGAATGAAAAGGTACATTTCCATATAAGGGAACTGAGGCCCCGAGCGCTGTAAACTTTGGACAAGAAGTAGGGCTTTCTTAGGGACTAGAAGTGTCAAGATGCTATCTGAAACTGGGGACCCTGTGAGAGAGCTTTGCTGTGGAGTGGAACATCAGTCTCATCAGGACTGTAGTTGTCAATTAATTAAATTTAGTTATTCAAAATGTTTATATCTTGTCCTATACGCATAATCATCTCAGGACAGCTTACAAGAACCAAAGCAATCAATAAACAAAACAGCAATTACAACAATTAACAATGTGCATGATATCAACAGAAACATATTACCAACAAGAACAAAGTCAAAAACAAAATGTGACTGTGTGTATTAAAAGCCAATTAAAATTCCTAGTCCTTAAAATAGCGGGCAAATAAAAAGATTTTTACCTGGCACCGAAAGGAATCTCTCTGGGGAGTGCATTCCAGAGTCTGGGTGCCACTGCAGAGAAGGCCCTCCTCCGGGCAGAGATCTTCTTTACCTCTTTCAGGGAGGGTTCCCGGAGCAGAGCCTCTCCTATGGATCTTAGGGGGCGCAAGGGCTTATAGGGAAGGAGATGTTCCTTCAGGAATCCTGGTCCCAAGCCATTTTAAAATAATTTACTAGAAATCTTTTTAATTGATTAAAGCCTTTCCCAAACAATTGGACAATGTAGTTTCAAGAATGGCAACAATTTCAAATATAAGTACTTATAAAAACTGTAGATGGCATTCCTCACTGAAGCAATTCCCCTCTCACTCTCACATAAGAGGGAATGTTCCTTGTAATATGGACCCTGCTGCAACATTCACAAAGCAAATATGCTTTTTGTATAAAATGGTTTTAATTATATGCAACTTTCTGAAGATTTAGGATGTGATCAAGAACTCACAGCATTTCAAGATACTTTTCTGTCTTAACAAGCATAAGATTGCACCTTAATTAATTATTTAATGAAAAGTCATTTAATTATGTTTCCTTAATCAGATGGGAACTTTAAATCTAATATATAGACACTTGGATCTAGACTTAGCCGCAGGTAAGTTAGAATAAATGAAATCAATGGGATTTAAATAGTAAGTCAAGACCAACTTAAGTCTTGAGTTCAATAGTTCTGCTTCAAGTATGAGTGAACCTGGATCTGATCTAAAATGCACATCAAGAATGGCTGTGAACAATTAGGCCTGTACATACACATACTAGAAAGGCATGTTAATATGTGGCAGTGATTAAGAACAGAGGGCATATATGATGTGGTATCAAGTAATGCATAACAGGATAGCTCAAAACTGCAACACTAAAGAAGTAGGGCGATGCCTATTAAGGGAGAAGGGCAGGCTGACATTCATTGGATGTGACTCATGCAATGGGAAGATTATACTGGACTGAGAAGCATGTTTCCTGTGATTTGGATTCAGAGTTGCAGATCATAAATGAAAGCCCCGAGCGTGACAGGACCATACCGTGTCTGTAGACACCAGGCTCCTGTCGGATTCACCAGATTCTTCATCACTGCTCCCTGGTTCCAATGTGCTGTTTGAAGTTGATCCCTGGGGCTTTTCCAGGGAAGTTTTGCAAGGGATATTTGCTTGTGGAGCAACATCTTTCTATAAGAAAGAACATGGAACATACTGTGAAAGGTGGTAGATAGAGTATAATCTGTTACTCCTCCCACTTTCGTTGGTAGGGCTAAGCCAATGAACTTTGACTATAGTTGCCATTCATGGAAAGAGTCCCTATGCTCCAGTTTATGTAAACTAAAAGTAAAAAAATACAAATGGAGATACAAAAAGCATTACTAACATTTAAAGGTAAAGTGAGCTACACAATAAAATTAACAGTATTTTAAAAGCACATATATAGTGATGTCTGAACTTCCTTCTAGAAACATTCAGTGAGCTACGTCCCTCTTGGTAAGTGGATTTATTTCTGCCATGGAATCCTCTGTGCTGCTGAGGTGGAATGAGCCTCCACAATACTCTTAGCAGATGCTACAAAGTAGGTGATTAAAGACTGCACAGAAAACCCCCCAGAGAAAACCAACTGCCATCATGACTCCTTCCCTGCTCTAGCTAAATAAACTGGGGAAGAATTGCCCTGATCAAGCCTGATTTCAAAATGAAGACAGGGTAGAGGATAGATAGATATTTTTTTTTATATATATATATATATATAAAATGAATTAAAAAATAACATTTCTATCCTGTCCTTCCCAATAAAATGTCTCAGGATGGCTTACAATAGTTAAAAGCAATGATAATGATCGGCGCCAGGCGAAGACCTTTTTATTTAAAAGTTATTTTAACTGTTAATTTATTATTATTGTATTTATAGATTTTAATATATATAGCCGAGATGGTACCAGTTTTTAAATTATTGATTGTATTTTTATGTTTATTTTATGGATGTTGTGAGCCGCCCTGAGGCTTTGTTGCAATGGGGGCAGCATAGAAATGTTTTAAATAAATAAATAAAGTATAAATAACAATTAATAATAATAAATAGTGTTAATACAATAATTAAAATGATAAATATGAGAACAATAAATAACATTCAAGCCTACCAAAACTAAAAAGAAGAAGAAAATGTGACTGGATCTAAAACAGCTAAAAACTTAATTCTTAAAATAATGGTTGAATAAAAAGGTTTTTATCTGGCGCCGAAAAGCGTATAAAGTTGGCATCAGGCGAACCTCTCTGGGGAGCGTATTCCAATGAATTCCATCCATTTCCTGGCATGAGTTACTTCTATCACGCAGTCCATAGACAGGACTATTCAAATGAACCCTAAACGTATTCCTTGATCATAGGAGGAGCTTTTCTCCAGTCCTAGTCCGGCTCACTGCAGCATCGGGATTCAGGAAAAAGTTCTTGTTGCTTTTAAAATTTGCACCCCATAGTGCAGTCCTTTGTTACCTGCATCTGGCTCTCAGGCTGGACAGTGGGTGTGCTTTGCTCAGCACTCCTGCCACTGGACTCCACTTCAAAGTATGGTGACTCTGGAAAGCAAGAATGTAGATAAAGTAGGGACATACTCATCCAAGTATCTTGCGCTCCTTCCACATCGCAATTTCTTCCTTTTGCTTGGCCCCATAGTTATACTTTGGGTGCTTCCAGATGAGGCTTTTATTCTGCAATTGCCCTACTTCAAACAAACAATTTTACTGTGCTTACAGTCAATGGTTTCCATTTTTATTTATTTATTTATTTATTTATTTATTTATTTATTTATTTATTATCTTTCTTTATTTATCTTTTCGATTTATATCATGCCTTTTTCCTACAGGGCTCAAGGCAGCTTACATCATTCTCCTCCTCCATCTTATCCCCACAACAACACCCCTGTGAGGTAGGTTGGGCTGAGAGTCTGTGACTGGCCCAAAGTCACCCAGTTGGCTCCATGGCTGAGCGGGGACTAGAACCCAGATCGTCTGAGTCCCAGTCCCATGCTCTTAACCACTACACCACACTGGCTCTCCCATATTTTCCCACCACTTCTTGAAACCTTTTCTTCCCTGAAAACAATGGCACAAAATACATAATAGGTCCAGAAAGCACTTCCAGATAGGTTGATCTGGAAGTGCTTCATAGTGCCAGACTGTCCTTCTCATTACAGTACTTCCACATCTTCTTTTTCCCACCTAGTGTCCTGAATCTCCCAGCTTGCACTCTCTTTTTCAAGAATTAGTAATGATTACCAAAACATTTTTTAGTGTTACAAAGTGTTTTAGGTATTCTTCTATCATATTAACACTGGAGAGATACTAACTTGACTAACAAAGCTTTAGACCCACAGCTGCTGGGGATATAAAACAGAATTTGCAAACCCAGCATCCTGACAACTTAGCCTCAGAATTATCTGATTCCATGAACAGTGCCCTTTTGCATCCCTATTCCTACAATTTTGCTGACCTTCAGGGATGACTGGGAGAGATGATTCATCTGACTCAGTCTGTCCAGCCCACATACAGAGTTTCTTGGGAGAAGAGGTGGTTGATGAAAGCAGAGGAGAATGTCCTGTGGTGTCCTGGAAGGGGAAAAATCACACAGAGTTTATTCACATGACATGACAACCCACTGTGGGTAACAAGCCCTGGTGGGCCATCCTGTCATATGAACCCTGACTGCTTGGTTCAGTCAAAGTAACATTGGAAGCTGGATGTACATGCCATCCAGCTGAACTTTTCACCTGTTTGGTTGCCCGCAACACATATCGCAAGTCTGTGAAAGAACCTCTCCGGTCACGTTCCTTCAGGGCTAGGCCACCTTTGACCACATCATAAAATGGCTGAGGAATACGAGCATCAACTAAGAGAGATTCCCCTGCCTCCATTTTCTCCTTCACAGTGAGGCCATCTAATCCTTCCCATGGAACTTCTCCTGGAAAAATACACATTAAATATACAGAATCTTCAAAAGCCTAAGTAGGCCCACTAAGTGTAGCTTAGATTCCTTTTCAGTTTATTAGATTTATATCCTGCCCTTTTCTTTCCCTTTTTTAGTAATTCAAAGTGACTTACATCATTCTCCTCATCCTGCTCTCAATCTTATCCCCACAACACCCTGTGAAGTAGGTTGAGCTGAGAGTCTGTGACTGGCCGAAAGTCATCCAGTTGGCTCCAAGGCTGAATGGGGACTAGAACCCAGATTGGCTGAGTCCCAATTCCACTATCTTAACCACTACAGCACATTGGTGCACTTTCTCTCTCTGCTTCCAAGTCCTATTCATGGTGCTGGTTTTAAGGTCCTACATGGCGTGGAACCACAATAGTTGATAGAACACCTCTCCTGACCACCATCTACCAGGACACTATAATCAGCCTCTGGGGCCTGCCTCAGACTGTCCCCTCTGAGGGAGGCTTGGTTGTGGCAACAAGGGTCTTTTCAGCTGTGGCTCCCCAGTTATGGAATGTGCTCCATAAGGAAACTTTTGGGCAACTACTGAGTTCTTTGGCACAGAACCCTACCCTACTCTAGCCAGAAACAAACCTGTGAAGATCTCCTGGATCACTGTGCAGAAGCTGTAGAGGTCAGAATTCATGGAGGCTGAACGCTCTCTAATGACTTCCAAGGGCAGCCAGTTATAGAGAGGCTGGGGTGGTGGGATAGGCCAGGTTAAACTTACTTTTGCAGCCCTGAAATAGAAGGCACCCAGTCAAGTTTCCTGAGGAGCCTTACGAGAGTCTCTTGAAGATTACAACGGCTGCAACCTACCTCTGCTGCATGTACTCAAGATTGCTGAGCTTGGCAAGTCCCGGTCTCACTAGCTGAACCGCATGGGAGGTCACAGCCCGGTGGATATAACCCCGATTATGCAGGAACAAGAGAGCATCAGAGATCTGCAGCAGCAGCAGCAGCAGTGTTGCTGAGGGCGCTGGGGAGCTAGAATTCTGCAGTGAGGGGAAGAGGGAGAGGGTGAGGGCTTAGCTTGGAAAGTGAAGGAAGGAGGCTCCACTCCAGTGACTGCTCCACTTACCTCACAGTGCAAGGCATAATAGAGCGAACACATTTCTACTCTCTCGAATACAAGCTGGAGATTTTGCAGGTCCAGGGATGGACTCACAGCCAAGAGAAGCAGCAGGTGGGGATGGTGGAACTGACTGCACAAAACATGGAGGCTGTGAACCTGTGGTGAAGTCCTTCATAACCAAGCCATTTCCCTCCATTATTCCTAAAACCTGCCAGGTGGCATTACCTACAGTATTCTTGCTCGGTCAGAAGCAAGTCCGTGGTCCCTCGCATTTTACTACAGTTGGGATGCACTTCTGGCTTTAAGCATCGCACAGTGACAAGCTGTCCATCCCATAGCAAGCTGGAAGCAGGGACAAAAGTGTGAGAATTGAGGGTTAGAGCCCAGCTACTCTGAGTCCAGCTATATTGTAAAACAGAGTGTTATAACCATGGTGCATGCACTTAACCCAGTTTGCCTTTACTGCCACTTCTTAAATCTGTACTATTTGCTATCCCTGCAATTTCCCTGTGCATCATAGAAGTGAATATATTTCTCTCTCCTCTTACACAGAAGTTTCAAGAAACCAGTATCTTGAAAGTAAGCAGATTAAATTTTGAACACCAGTTTGTCCAGTAATAGATAACACAGTTATTCTTTGGGGTTTTTTCCTCCCCCCCCACCCCCCCAAGAGATAGCTACCAAGTTCTGGCCACATCGCCTGATTTCATTAGTTGCACTGGTCTTCATGATATGCCTACCACTTTCAGTGAGTGGTTATTATGCAGGACTCAAAGTCAACCTTCTCTGGGCCTCAGTGGTAAGTGTGGCTCCAAGTGACAGGTATGTAGGTAGGTATATGGATAGCTGTACTGGACCACACAATATGAAACATACACGGGCGCAAAAAAGACCAGTAACCAATAATTTAAGACTTGAAATAAAAGTAGAACACAGCCTGTGAAGAAACAGAACTGTCTTCCATTTTGGTAGTTTGGTTGCAAAATTTAATGAGGCTAAATCCTCGTAGGTGCATGTATGTGTATGCCATGTGCTAATCAGTTTCAGCCCAAAGTTTATACATTTAGATTATAACTAGCTAAGATTAATAGTTTAGGGGTTAGATTTTTAGCTAGACTATAGAGGTCAGCGAGTTGAGCTCAGAAGAACAACAGATTATAAAGTTCAACAAAAGGTGCAAGATGGAGAGATAAAAGTTTTAACTCGGAACGCTGGAATTAAGATGCAAAAATGAAGAAGCTACCCTTCTGATTGGTTGAAGCTGGAGGAAAAAAGCTACAAGCCAAATGCAGAAAAGGAAGAGTGCTTCTATATACAAAGCATTTGTTCTGTATCTGTAATACCCCAATCCTAGAAGTTTGCAAATCCTTTATGCAACATTAGCAATCGTCCAGTGCCTCTCCTGTATTTTTCAGCTATGTTTGTGGCTTTTTTTTTTAAAATGAGGAAAATACAGCATTATCTGGAAAGCTGACATGATTCACTATGGAAAGCCTTGCGTACATTTGTGATTCTGCTCTGTATTACAGTGTCACCCTTTGGTTATGGAATGGAACATACAGAAATGTATAGAAAGGTAGATAAGGAAAATTCTGGTGGCGGGGAGGAACATTCCCGTCAAAGAACAGGGCATTGCTGGAAAAATGTGTCAGATCAGGACCAAAGAGACCAGTGTTCAACACTCCACTCAACTGTGAAGTTTAGCAGGTCATTTTGGGGTACTCTCTTTGCCTCAGGTTAACATTTCTCATAGAATTGTTGTGAAAATGAAACAGAGGGAAGGGGAAGCATGTACACTGCCTGTAAGTCCTTGTGAAATAAGATGGAATAAAAACAAAAGTAATATAAAATGGAAGGGTACTGGTAGAACTTAAAACTGCTTGGGTGAATGAATACAAGTGCCATATGCTTGAGAATGTAAAAGGGAATGTGTGATATTGGAGAGATGAAAGATGGATGAAAGGAGAATGGTGGTGGCAGATTATGTCATTGCTTTAGGATGCAGGTTGATGTGAAGTCAGCTGTTCCCCTAGAATTGGTCTTACAGCCGATTCTGAAATAAGATCCTATCAGAAATGAAATACAGGCAGGGACAGGCCACAAAGGGTTAAGGCTTAACCATTCTTAGCATTTTACTTCCTCATGAGTGTGTATGGTCCATTTGGATAACTCCAGTCTGGTTCTCCATTGCCTCTGATCAGCTCGCTGCTGTCTGCAATGTATGTGAGGGCAACCACCCCTGGCTGCTGATATCTGCTTGGGCAGAGCTGGAAAAAAGGTGGAATGAGTTAAATAGCCGAACAAACAACTATGGTCTCTGCCATGCTGAACTCTTCCATGAAACTTTCTTACTTGCCCATATCCAATGGCTGGTTCTCTAGTGCTTGCAAACTTATTGGGGTTGTCCTTCAACCTGCAACAAGAGGAGAGGGAAAATAAGCGCTTAAGACCTATTTGCCCATTCTTTCAATCTAAGCAAAGATGATGGGGAGCATTTCAGTCTACTGATATATCCTCTTTGCTTGCAATTTCTCCTTGCAGGCATGAAAAATAAGAACTACAACCCATTTGCAGTCTCAATGACTTCTATGAAACTATGAGAAAAAATGGATTTGGTTTTCAGCCAAGAACAAGACAAAGTATCACACAATGAGGAAAGGGGCTACATACTAGTAACTCCACCATAGAAAGAACCTCTCTGAAGCATAACTCTTGCTATAGGCCCTGTTCGCACCACTCTGTTTTGAGCTGTATATGCAAGTGATATGATTGCTTGCAGGAGGCGATTCTTTATTGCAGCCTCAGTGGAAGAAAAACAATACTGTACATTTTGTTCCTTAACTTTGTGCAAGTTTAGAAACGTAGAAAAACATAGAAAACAGAGCAAGTCAGGAGGGGCCTCCCAGGCCATCTAGTCTGAACCCCTAGCTCCAGCTGGCACTGCTCATGACATGCCTACCATGTGCATGTCCAGCCTATCCTTAATAGAAACATAGAAGTTTAGGTTTTATAGAATATCCACAAGTCAACAACTTTGGGATTATAGTTTCTACCAGGTGCTATCTTGACACTCAGCTCTTCTTGACTTAATGGTGGATGCAGATAAAAAGTATATGCTCACTGGGGAATATTACAGGAAGAGGGCTGTAATTTTCCAAACTCTACATTAGTTAGCTTATAAGCATTTTATTATGAAGAATTCTGCCTTAGCAGGAGCTGGTCAACAGGGGGGAATATGCAGGGGTTCCCACAGTCTGCAAAAGACAGACTGTAAGTGGATTCTTACCAGAAAGGAGCAGATAAGAGCGATGAGAAAGAAGAACGCAGACTCTGTGATGCTGCTATAGTCACTTTTGAGTAGAGTGACTGATCCCCACGCTGCACCAGCATAGCCATTTGATCACAGCACTCCTGTATGAAGTCCATGACCTGGAGGCAATACAAAGTGAGAACAAGGCAATACCACATTACTGGATAGCGGCTTTGCCTTTAAGCCTTTGCCTAGTAACCATATGGAGCAAGAAACTGCATGTAAGCAAGCGAGTGGGGCTGCTGAAGGAAGGACAGAGCATCCCTCCATTGGCAGCCAAGCAGACCAGTAGACTTTGCAGGTGTACCTACAAGGCTTGTCTAATCCATATCAACCTGATGAAGTAGGTACCTCAGGATACTGATAATTTCCAGCTTGCTGGGCCCAGTCTTTAGGAGTCCGTCCTTTTTGATCATGGAATCTTAGATCACCTCTAGCTTGTAGGATGCTTCCAAGAAGTCTTTGGTGACCAGAGAAGGCCGCTGCATGGACTGGGGTGCTACCATCATAACAACGGCTTCAAGGAGAAAATGGAGAAAGAAGATGTGCCAGAATGCAACTGACTGGAAATGACTGAGGTTCAAATGGCTATTTTACCAGAATTTGATCATACACACAGATCCCAGCTGATGTAACAAGGATTGGTATGAAATTTATTTATTTAACATATTTTTACCCCATCCTATATGAAAAAACATCCCAGGATGGCTTACAATGATTAAGACACTAAAAATTACAATAATTACAATAGTTAAGACAATAATAATTACAATAATAATTACAGTAAAACAATAATACTTACAATAATTAAAACAATAAATAATGAAACATTAAATAACATTCACAACACCAACAAAAACAAAATGTGACTGTTGATGTTAAAAACCATTTAAAATACCTTAAAATGATGAGTGAATAAAAAGGTTTTTACCTGGTGCTGAAAAGAGTATAAAGTCAGTGCCAGGTGAACCTCTCTGGGGAGCTCATTCCACAAGCTGGGTGCCACCACAGAGAAGACCCTTCTCCGGGAAGACACCCTCTTTACCTCCTTCAGGGAGGGTTCCTGGAGCAGGGCTTCTCCTACTGATCTTAAGGGGCGCAAGGGCATATAAGGAAATTAAATTAGTTTGGTCTTGGTGACTTCTGATATTGGGTTATTGTCTTCCCTCTTTTGTTATACCATCCAATTAAAAGGTAAAGGTTTCCCCTTGATGTTAAGTCCAGTCATGCCTGACGTTAGGGGGCGGTGCTCATCTCCGTTTCCTAGCCGAGGGAGCCAGCGCTTGTCTGCAGACAGTCTCCGTGGTCACGTGGCCGGCATGACTAAACACCGAAGTGCACGGAACACTGTTACCTGCCCACCGAAGTGGTATCTTTTTATCTACTTGCTTTTGCATGCTTTCGAACTGCAAGTTTGGCAGGAGCTGGGACGGAGCAATGGGAACTCACCCCGTTGTGCAGATTTGAACTGGCGACCTTTTGATCAAGTTTAAACCACTGCGCCACCAATTAGGAGGGCAGAAAATTGCTCTCTGCATGAACTGAATTATACATTGACAGACAAGACTTTTTGTCTGGAGATGCACACAGTTTCTAGGGCTTCTCTATGTGAAGAACTTACTGTTGTTTGGAACTATCTTCTTCCATTTTTTGTTGTGGAGGAAAATTGCATCCTTTATACCAGTTTTTTTCCAAGGGTTTGTACTTCTTGGCTTTTATTAGCCAGCCACAAGGTGGTGCTGTGGTATAGCTGTAGTGCAGCAGAGTTTTCATCCTTCCCAGATACAGTACTTTTTTTTTTTTTTGCAGTTTAAAATGTAATACCAGATTTCTCTCCTTCTAAAAAAAACCACAACCCAACAATAGCAACACAAAAAGAGCTGGAAAATTCAGGCAAGGCCCTGGAAGATAACAATGCTGTGAAAAGCCACAAACATCCTTAAGCCGCCCCGAGGCTTCGGCGAATGGGGCGGCATAGAAATGTTTTAATAAATAAATAAATAAATAGAGAAATCATGAGCACAGAATAAATGACTCATCTAAAGAAGTCCAGAATTTGTCAATAATTAAAGGCCTTTCCCCAAAGAATCATAGAATAGTAGCAGAAGAAGGGGCTAGAAGGCCATCAGGTCCAACCCCTTGCAGCTGCATGACACTAAGTTACACCAACCCATTTAAATGACTGTCCAAACACTGTTTGAATGTCTCCAGTGAGGGAGAACCCACATGTTCCCCAGGTAATCGGTCTCATTGTCATACTGCTCATAAGAGGCATCATTTCTGAACTGATGTTTAACAACGTGAAACTGCTAGGCTAGGGTCTATACAGGCATTTCATTTTAGGAGTGATGTTAGTGCACTTCTAGCTTTTTAGTTGCCAGGGATATACATTCTTTCTGTCATGCTGGAATCAGCTCAAACTGCAATTGGAAGTCGCTGGTGAAATAAACCACTTCTTTAGTTGCTTGATGTAATTACTGCTATTTAATTCTTGTAGCATAGTTGTACCACTCTCATGTTAAACTCCCTGTTTAACATCTCTTCTGAACAATGAATGAAACAAACTTTGGGAAAATTTAAGGTTTCACTTTCTTTTTAAAAAAATCCTATTCAGGAATTTCCAGAATGACTATTTCTCTGCTTTGTTACACATACACACATAACCCTTAAAAAGAAAAAAAGAGTGGCAAATTCAAACAGGGCTGAACACATACTCTCTCCCTCAGCTTTGTTTGTATCATTCATATGGAAGCCCTTACAGGTCATCTTGTCCAATATCACGCTTAATGCAATAAAGGTAGAGTACAAGAATGCCAAACGGATGCCTATCCCGTCTTTGCTTGAAAGCCTCCAATGAGGGAAAGTGCACCATACCTCTGTATCATTATTTCGTTGTCAAACTGCTTTTCCTATCAAGAAGTTTCTCCTAACGTGCAGATGAAATATAACCTGTCCCTTAGATTTAGTCCTCCTCTCCAGGACAGCAGGAATAGTCTTTGGCCTCTTCTATGTGCCATTCATATATTTGAAAGGGACTCTGTCTGTTACTGACTCCCTCCAGAACACTTTAAGAATGAAAACAGACCTCCCCGACACAAAAGCTAGCCTACATAGAGCAACAAGCTGTCCCCTCTGCATGATGTGTGAACAGCTCCCATATAACTGTAACTACAGAATGCAGGAAATGCGAATGATAGCACCATTCCCAAAAAGGAATATCTGTACAAGCCAGTGGGGGTATATATGTGCAATGGGATACATACTCCTTTTATTTCACCCTGTCTCTTGAGTCCAAAGTCTCCTATCAGCAAATGTCTACCCTCACTCACTGGTTGGGGTTGGCACCAAAGCGCAGAAATAGCTGGACTACAGCAGCATGTCCCAACAGGGCAGCAAGATACAGACCAGTCTGTCCAGCTGTATTGTGGCAGTCCACATCTACACCTGCAGGACAAAAAAGTATATCATCTATGAATAGCGGGAAGAAGTTTTGTTGAAGGCATGCAGAGAAAAGCCTCGCCACCTAGGAAGGCCTTTCAGCAGTTATAGGTGGCCTATAAATATGTGCATAAATAAAAAATAAAATAAATAAATGTACCAAAATGAACTACTTCAATTTCATTTAAAACTGCATTTCTTGTCCCATGCCAGAGTAGTATGCATATAGTAAAATATACCTACATTTTGCACCAGATTCCCCCAAATTTTGTAACATAAACAGCGACACGTAGTGCCTTTATTTTGTCAGGAAATGCTATTCACTGGAGAGAGAAATTTGAGTTCTGGGCTTCAAATGGGTTGGCTTTACCTCTTTTGAGCAGCATCTTGGCATTTTTGCTCTTGCCTTCAGCAGCGTGCCTGAGCAACTGCCCCTCCAAAGAGTTAGGTTCAGCACAGTAGCCTATGCTTACAGGGCAGCTTGCAGGGAGCACTGGGGTCCTTGGCATCACACTAAAGAGAAGCAAGGGTTTAAAAAGTTAGAGAGAAGCAAAGATGGGAAACCGTATCAAAAAGAACCAAATTTGCACCCCTGCTTCTGGGTGTTTTTCATGTATTTGTTCTCTTATTGTTTAACTAAGTGCTGGTTTTAAAAGTTTGGTTCTTATGATTGGCTGGCTTGAGTGCCATATTTTTTCTGGAAAAATGAGGCATAAATCAAAATAAATCAATAAATAATTATCACAGTTGTCACTTGATTAAAGACATTTTAGCTCAGAGGAACACAACCAAGTTGTGGCTGCTGCCTCTCAAATTATTTCACTGTTATTCATTTCTCTCATATACCCTTCTGTTCTCTTCCCAAATGAGGAAGTTAAGTTTCAATACCAGCTACACTTCCTGTGGGAAAACACAATCCGAAAGGCATCCCTCATTTGCTGGAATGCACTCTGTTCCACAGGCTCACAAAAATGATGCTTCCTTTTTATTTCAGAGTGCTATAGTTACCAAAACAAAAACAAGACAAATGCTGCGGCACCAAATAGCCTTTATTTGAACAGATTTACTCTGGCAACTATAGCTTGTAACTTATATTAGTCTAGCCTAAGAAAAATACTAAGTGATGCTAAATCTCTAGAGTCTTCTTGTCCCATAGATTTAATTCTAATGAAGTACTGGAATCTTCTCTTGTTACATATCTATATTCCCAATAAGATACAAACACTTAAAAGCAATGAGCAGAGCAATCCTATGACACCTAATGAAACATGGCAGGGTTCAAATTCTCAGCTCCAAGATCAGGAAAACACTTTGACCTGGGAGTTCAGAAAGTGGGTCCAGGTCTCCCTCCCCCAGTGCAGCTGGCACTGAAAGACCAGTGCTGACTGCTTTCTGAGGTTGTGGAAGAACCTCAGAGGTCTGGGGGACAAGGAGGGGAGACCAGTGCCACCAACATGCCATGTATTCTGGTGATGCCACCCACCCTCAGCCTCTTTCCCTCTTCCTCTTAAGCATCACAGTTAAGCAGCAAATATCAGCAGTCTAGTCATCAGAACGTAAGCAAAGCTGTGCCGGATCAGGCCAAAGGTCCATCCAGTCCAGCACCTCCGCACATATGATGGCAAACCAGCTGCCCACAGGATCCCTCAAGCAGGATGGGTGCAAGACCTCCTCCTGCCCAGCTCCCTCAGCAACTGGTTTATGCCATCTGTTTCGCTGGAAGGGAGGAATGTGGAGGTAACTTTTGCCTTCTGGATCTGCATAGGGTGTCCATAATCATCAATGTTTGGAGAGTTGTTATTAATTTTATTTCTGTATCGCACTAGCGAAAGCATTCTGGGCAGTGTATAATAAAGTACAACATAAAATATAATTAACACCACACCATGGAGTGTAATTAAAAATTTAAAACTGAATTTTTAACAACTTAATCTCTAGTACGTTTATATAGCTTAGCCTCCTAAAAACCGCTGACAATACCCACTACTCCCAGTGCTACTTTAAGCTATTAAATAGCTCAGTAGAGAGGGCAGTCCTAGCCTCATGCTGAAAAGATAGTAAAGTTGATGCCAGGCAAGCCTCAGAGGGGAGATCATGCCACAACTTGCAGGCGATATAACACAGAAGGCTCTCCTCCTTGTTGCTGCCTTCAGAGCCTCCCTCTGCTGTGCAGTGAGAGGAAGGCCCTGGGCGTTGACTGTATGTCCGAGAAGAATGCAGCTGGGAGAGGCATTCCATTAAACACTGTGCAAGGCTGCATAGGTTAAAACTAGCACCTTGAATGCAGCTTGGCAGTGTATAGATGGCTAGTGCAAGGGGGCTAGAACTGGTATTATGTGCTCAGACCTTTTGATTCCACTTATGAGTCTGGCTGCTGCATTTTGCACATGCTGCAGCCTCTGAACAGTCAAGGACATCTGCATGTAAACTATATTGCAGTAGTCCAACTTAGCAATTATGAGAGCATAGATTACTGAAACCAGGCTATCCCTGCCCAGATAGCAGCATAACTGAGCCACCAGCTGAAGCTGGTAGAAGGCACTCTGTGCCACCTAGACCACCTGAACCCCAAGTGACAAAGATGGTTCCAGGAGAATGCGCTAGCTATGCATCTCCTCTTTCATGGGGAGCACAGCCCCAACCAGAACCCTCCATTTGATCAGAGGAACCATCCACTAAAAGCACCTGCCAGTCTTGTCTGGATTGGCTTTAGTTTGCTAGCTCTTATCCAGTCCATTGTTGCAGCCAATCAGCAATTGTGCACAGCCTCACTTGCAGAAGACAAAGAGGAAAACAGAGCTGCATGTCACTGGTATACTGATGGCAACACACTAGAAAATTTCAGGTCCCCCCCCCCCCAGTGGTTTCATGTAGATATTGGAGAGCAAGAGCAACCCTTGAGGAACCCAGTAATGGAGTATCTGTGGAGCTGAGTAGTACTTCTGAAGCACCCACTTTAGAAATTGATCGTTCAAGTAGGAGCAGAACCACTGAAAAGCCACTGTGAAGTCACTGCAGAACCACTCCTCCTTCTTCAGACAGTCACCCCCAGAAGGATACCCTGGCTGATGGTACTGAAAGTTCCAGGAGTATCAAATGGGTCATAGCCTCCCTTGTCTCTCTTTCAGTATACAAGGTGATCAAAGCTGTTTCCATGCCAAGACCCCACCTTAACCCTGATTGAAATGGATGCACATATCAGTCTCATCTGCATGTGATTGGAGCTGGTTGGCTATTTAATTAATCAAGCAGCTTGCCCACAAAGCCATCTACTTAAAGTTATGAAATTCTTCTGGTTCAAAAAGGGTTTCATGCAGAGTGGCCTCACTAACACCTCTTTAAAGAGGCACTGATTATGTGGCTCAACTGGCAGTTTTTACAAGCCAAGAAAAGTGAAGACCCAATATGGATTTGGTGCATGAACCTGCCCAAGCACTTTGTTAACATCATTGAGCTTGAACAATACCACTTGACCATGCTGCATTCTAGAAACTTTGCCTGATGCAACTGCTATAAAATTGGAAACAAATTGTAATATAAGTCCTGGCGGATGTAAGAAATTTTATCCTGGAAGTGCCTAGCAAATATATTATCGCAGGCTTCTAAAATGTCCTTGGGGCCCTGGATGACTCTGAAAAGTGAGATGATTGGACAGAGGCTGTGAGATATTTCTTTGCCGCTCTCACTGACCCCAAACATTCTCAATTATAGGCACTTGCCAGGGTTCAATTGTACCTCCTAGGAGTTTTTCTCCAGCCAGTCACACTGTTCCCTCTATTGTTTCATCACTCTCAGCATTGCAGTATATCACAAAGCCATATGAGCTCTGCTACAGCAAGGACACTCAGGAGCGACCAAGACAACAAGCTGGGTCATCTCCATTTTCCAGAACCATCAGCCAGATCAGCCATAAGATAACATTTTGCAATTTTTCATCCCTCAAAAACTCTGCTTAAGACAGGACATCTTTTGTCTCTTCATGGGGAGGGGAGCAGGGAACTGTCATGACCTTCAGTAATAATTTTGAACGTATCAGATTAAACTCTCTATTCATTATAGTTATCACCTTACAGGGAAAGGGTCTGTAAACTGTCTAGAGGTTCAAAAAAAGTCCAGCAAAATTGGTACTATCTCCAAATGAGAAGCACTAAGTGCTTATATGGATTCCATATTGTGACTAAAATGTTTGTTATGTGCCATCAGATTGACTCTGACTTATGATAACCCTATTAATGAATGCCTTCCAAAATTTCAGCTATGCTCAACTATGATGCTAAATCTAAATAAATGTACAAACCACAAGACAAAAGGGAAGAAAATAGGTCATTTACTTCAAAGCTTCATAAATATGCTCTTTCACCTCAAGCACATACCAATATATTGTGGGGAAGGAAATATTGACAATTATGGGCAACATTTGTAAAGCCAGGGCGTAATATTACAGCTTAAGTCCAGGGCCACAACAGCCATCCTCCTCTTCCTGCAAATGACCAACCAGAGATGGCAGGCCCAATAGGAGTGAAAGCCACAACTTAATTTTCAAAAATTTTAGAATTAGGAGGCAGCCAGCTGGGCATGTGCATTATTACAGATGTTCATTCTACCTCCTTAAAATAAATTTATCCACTTATATCCTGTATTTTTCCCTGCAAGAAGCCCAAGGCAGTGTACATGCTATTCCTCACCATCATTTTATTCTAAAAACAGTTCTGTGGGAAAGATAAGCCTGAGAATCTGTGATTGGCCCAAAGTCTCCCAGTTCCATGGCTGGGCCCTCCAAGTCCCAGTCCAAAACTCTGACCCATTATTCCCCACTACCTCTCCTTTCCCTCTGTTGCATCTAAACAAGACGTATCCCAAGTGAAACGAGTTTCGCATCAGGACAGCAGAAAGCAAGCTCCATTGTATTCCCGCAGTCGTGAGAAAGTAACAATTTAAGCGAGTTTCAAAAGCAAAACTGCACATGCTTGGAGTCCTTCAGACTGGCAAGTAGATTTTCTTTGTTTGCTCCTTTCTTTTTGCTTGCTCTCTACTAGATGGAAGGGATGTGGAACTAGTATGACACAGGGGTGGAGGAAGAGATAGGTTTACTCCACGCCTAACTTCCTGAAGGGTCCGCCATGACATTCAGTACCCAAGATTACCTAACAAGCGCCACCGAAGATCGGAAGAGCGCCAATTACTACCTCAGCGCCAGCCGCGAAGTACAGTATTTGCTTGTTTAAAAATTTTTACTTGCACGTGATAGGATGGCCAAGGCACGTGATAGATGTTGGGGGGGGCTCTTTCCAACGGCCGCAGCGGGAGACTACTAGGGCGCGCGCAGTTAGATAAAAGAATACACAGGAGGAGAGGCTGTGGGTAGCTGGCGCAGGCGCAGGCAGTGGAAGATGACGCAGACCTTCTGGGCGGGGCTGCGCTTCTCCAGCCCAAGCCACGCCTCTTAGCAAAAGGCCGGCGGGTTTTAGTGGGACGTCGGAGAGCAAATAGTTGCAGCCTTCATGCTGTGGAGAGTGATCGCTTCTGAATACTGACCTTCATTAAAGAAACTTAATATCAGAAAATCAAAGGCGGCACACCAGGGGGAAGTAGATGTAATAACTGTTCTTCTGGTTTTCTGCCTGCAGGGATTCTTCCCTGTCTCTTGCGAGTTAAACTGCCGCCGTTTATTTTTTCTTTATTCTGCTTTATATAGAGAAATTGTCTTCGGTTTGCTTGCGTTGCTCCACTGCAGTGTTTTCCCTGGCTGCCCTGATTGGAACGCTTCTTGGGTCTTTTGTTCTAGCTGGTTCGATTTAGATCAGTGTTTAGCACCAGAATCCATTTCTTTATCATTGCTATTCAGCTTCGGAATAGAAGAAGGAATAATAAAGCTGAATCTTGGAAAATGGGTAGAAGAAGGGAAACCACCTTCTAGCCTTCGACTATCAAGAAGATATCGAAGATGTAACATCCAAGTAGACCCATACCGGCATTTTCACACTGCCCTGCTGTGCCTATTAACTGGAAAGGGGCTTGGTGTGCAAGCCTGTGCATGGTAGAGAGAGAAAATCCTACAATTTCCAACGTTCTCCAGCCTATGCCAACCCCCCCTTCCCCCCGCCGCTCTTTGTAGCATCTGCTGGAGAGATTTGATAATTTTGGAACCTTTAGTTGGCCGTATGAAGCTATTACACTTTCTCTTACAGTTAGCTGAAGACTATGTTTTTGGCTTCAAAAGGATTCTCATAGTGTCCTTGCCTAACATTATAAATAGCACATAGTCCTTGTATGTGACCATTAGGAGACCTGATCACATAACTTTGCTGGTAGCTGGTGTTTTTGTTTGTTTTTTCAATCTTGTTAGGGCCTAGATTTAAAAAGTGCACTGATGCCACAGAAGTTATATTCTAAGTTTATGAAATGAGGTGCTAGGGAGATACACATCTCAAAGTAAGCTTTGAAGACAGTTTGTCTCAAAGGTGGGATATAAATCTTGTAAATAAATGATAAATGTTGCAAATTTCACTAGAAAGGTATGCTATACAGCTGACTAAGAAGAGACCTGGGGGATCAGACCATGGGTCCATCTAGTCTGGTATCTTGTTTACACACTAGCTAACCTGCTTCCCCTGGGAAGCCTTAACCAAGATGGGAATGTTCCAGGACCCTCCTTCCCATGTTCCATGGCAACTGGTTTACACACACACTGCACTGATCCTGGAGGCAGCAATGAGTGGTCAGGACTTGCTATCCTCTTCCCTGACCTTGTCCAATCTCCATTCAACACCATTCAAATTGGTGACCATCACTACACCTTGTGGAAGTGAATTTAATAATTTCATGGAACTGGTGTAAATAGTCACATGCTTATTCCATTCAAAAGGGCCTGCTTGTATAATACCAAATAAAAATAAGCCCTTTTTATTCAACTGAATGCAAAGAGGCTTAGATTTCTACAACCACTGGTGTATACTAACCAGAATGTTTAGCACACTAAACTATCAAATACTTCTTTACACAAACTGTTAGTATGCTTGGTTGACACTTAGTGCCTGCAGTTTTCCCTCTTTCACTGCACTGTTTTCCTTCCATTTGTTAGATTTCTATTATTATTGTTTCATTTCTGTACTGCCCAACTGTGTAGCTCTCTAGACTGTTTACAACAGTTGATAAAACAGTCAATACAATAAAAAGCCACATTTTTCCCCAAAATGCAAAAATGTAAAAATCTAAACAAAACCTAGAACAACATATAATAGAGCATGGGCCCTCAAACTACAGCCCGCAGGCCAGATCTGGCCCGCCTCAGAGCTTTTGGACTTGCTTGGAGAAAATGATCTTGCCCAGAGAAGGCCATGGAAGCCATGGCCTTCTCTGCGCAAGCCGCCAGCCACCATGCTTCTTCCCCCCGCCAAGGGGAGAGGCAGGAGGTGCTCCACTCAGCCAGCCGCTGCCCCATCCCTTGCCTTGGAAAGAAACCCTTACCTCGGAGCCACCCCATGCTCGCCTCTCCGGCCTCCTGCTCCCTCAGAACCGGAGCAGCGGCGGGGACTATAATTCCATCATGCCCAACCAGTATGGCCAATGGAAGTTGTAGTCCAACTCATGTGGACAGTACCAGTTTTGGCAAGGTTGCACTTAAAATATGTTCATCATTAGCTCTGCATCCAAATACAGCCATTGTGTATTGTGGGAATTGTTCTGGGCTGACTTGCTTCAAATACTAAGAGTGGCATTAACAATATTTATCCTTAGTATTTTTGCTTCATTCTTTGTAAATGCCAGTTGCAGTTATCAGCTGTATTATGCAAAATACTATATTTAGTGCCTTGCTTGTGTTGTAGCTGTGTCCCTTGAATATGGACATGCTCTTCCCCACCTCATCTTGGGCTTCCGCTGCAGCCCAAGGAAGTGGAACAAACATTTTTAATTTTAAAATTATTTTTCTAATTTTAATTAATTTTAATTTTAATTAACTTTTAATTTTAATGTGCAGTGTGTAGGAATTCATTCATATTTTTTTCAAACCATAGTCCAGCCCCACAACAGTCTGAAGAACAGTGAACTGGCCCCCTGTTTAAAAAGTTTGAGGACCCCTGTAATAGAGGATAGACCTGTACAACACCTGCGATGAGTGCTCCCTCCAAGCCTTTAACTATGCTTACGTGTCTTTAAATCCTTTGGCAAAGACGGCCATCTTAACCTGTTGCCAAAATAATGGCAAGATTGGCACCAGACAGGCCACACTGGGGAGATCATTGGCATTTGGAGGAAGGCACCCGGTGGTTGGCCGTAGATGGTGTCAGCCTGTCAGTGGAGAGGCAGACCGCCAGGCATTGAGGTTCTAAAGCAGGGGTCTCAAACTCAACTTACCTGGGGGCAGTCTGGGTGAGGCTGGGCCGCATCAAGTATTCCACCACCACGGTGGTGGTGGGCCGCTCATCCTGCGTCGCTCCCAGAGGCCGGCCCGGGTGCTGCTGGCGCTTTGAAGGCCGCAGGGCCCCTCCCCCCGTGCCCCGCCGTCCCGGCAATTGGCCCACGGGCTGCGAGGTTGAGACCCCTGTTCTAAAGCCATGCAAGGTTTTATAGGTGAAAAATGGCACCTTGAATCAGGCTCAGAAGCACACAGAGCCAATGCAAGTGGGCCAGAGCTGGACACGCTCATTCTGATCAAGTAGTCCTGGTTCTTGCCCTGGCTGCTATGTTTTGCACAAGTTGCAAACAGCCTTCAAGGGCAGCTCTACACAGAGTGCCTTTGCAGTAAGGAAGATGACCAGAGTGATTATTACTGAAACCAGGCTATCCCTGACCAGATAGGGGTATAGCTTAGCTACCAGATGAAGCCAATCAAAGGCACTCTGTGCCACCGAGACAACCTGAGCCTCAAGTGACAAAAATGGTTCAAGGAAGAACCCCAGGCTACAAATATGCTCTTTCAAGGGAAGTGCAGCCCCATTCAGAACAGGTTGGACACCCCCCATCTGGTCAGAGGTACCACCCACTAGTAGCATCTCAATCTTGTTTGGATTGAGCTTCAGGTTATTAGCCTTCATCTCATCCATTATCCTAGCCAGCCACTGATTTAGCACATCCACAGTCTTCCTTGATGGAGAGAAAATGGGCAAGCAAAGCTGCATGTCATCAGCATACCCATGGCAATGTATGCACTCCACATGACCCCGCACAGAGGTCATAATAGACTTTACATAGCATAAAGGAATAGAATTGGCCCCTATGGCTTTAATTGATTTTAGTACTGTTTTGTTAACCTCTTTTGAAATTGTCACCTGTTGCCAGTGTACCTCCTACTTTTCACCTAATCTTTTGGTTCCTTGTCTCAAGTGTATAGTTTAATTTGGGTCATTGCCCATGCCTGCTAAAATAGAAACATTTCTTTGGCCATATTTTGTGTGGAAAGAAAGAGATTCCTTGGCTGCAGTGGTGCTCCTGGAGAGATGCAAACATATCATTTGGGGGAAAGACTGTGGTCTTCTAAGTAAGATAACAGAAAAATAGAAAGGAAGGCACTAGACAGCAAATTCAAACCTTTGTTGAAGGAAAGCATTCCCAGTCACATAACCTGAATTCATTGTTGCAGTTGGTTCAAGAAAGGAAATTTGTTTCACATGAAGATCCAGTGAACCTCTGAAGAGAGCTACAGTGCCCGTCTTCAGGGAAACTGGTGGTCTCTGGATAACAAAGAATGCTCGGTAAAAGAACACTTGTGCTTTGTAGAATGCTTTTGTGATGAAACAGTTCTCCCATTATAATACCCCTCCCCTGTCCACTGTTGCAAACATATCCTCTTAAGGTGGTGTTAGATGTGACTGAGAAATGGGAGACACAGCTAATGCAAAATACATTTGCTTCCTAATTTCTCACATTTATGTCATGGATGAATTACTACAGTCCATATCAGAATTTTCTCTTGGCATGAGCTTCTCTTGAATTTGTTTCACAATTGACCTTAGGCTGTGCTGACATTCATGTGTATTATATATTTATGGAGGTGTTCATGTCAACTGAAGGAGGAAACCCCCCCCCCGAAGAATTGAAGTAGTAAGTCAAAGAATTATATGCTAGCTGATGCCACATTCTATACTGCGAAATAGGTGTATCCTATGGATTATGTACATCCAAGTGTGAAAACTAGGTCTAGAGCGGTTAGTTCTCTCTCTAGAGGCTAGCTAGCTCTCTGGCTTCACTTAAAAGAACTACCAGTTCTGGAAGGAGAATGTAGTAAATCTGGGAGATGTTATTCTTGAATTTTGTTCTAAGGTTCAGACTGGGATCTCTACAATTACGTA